TTATAAGAGAGTCCCCCCGGACCTACAGCTCAATGGCGGCAGATGCAGACCCCAATCCAAAATATTTCGCGGGTCCCTAACATGTGCGYATACTAGCCACATYACACGCCTGCATTCTCGTTACCCCAGACAACAACGAGACCACGATATTAGTGTTACCTTCGATCAAATTTGATCAATTTCTTTCTGAAAGGATATCTCCCGCGTCGTTATTAATSAATTGTCTTTGTTGGGGAGCCTTACTTATAAATTGAAAAAACTTTCCTCTGTATTCAACTCACCTCGGTTACCACTAAGATAYACTAACAAGTACCAAATAACAAGTAACTTTTGAGAGTGTGGTCAAATTGATATGATAAATTAATTCCATTGAATTTGAAATTGATCTACAGAAAAATGTTTGGTACTGATACCGAGCAGTCTCTCTGGTAAATCGTTAAAAGCATATACGCGGTGTGATCCCAGCGGAAAATGTCCACGTAGTACAAAGGACTGCAGTAATTTATGCCAATCGTCGGATGAGAAGTGTTGCTGCTTGGTTACTTAGAGGTCGTCAGACTACAATCCTAGGAAATTTTACGCGGAACTTTGCAACATGTAACTGTTTCAATTTGACAATACGACAACCACTCGGTACAATAACCTGCCCCCTTGATTTTTCATGCTTCAGTACCATGACATAATGTACAACGACAACATTGACCGTGGGGGGTGGGGGAGGTCGTGTTGTCAGTGGAACACTAAGAATGAGTGTTAAGTACAGTACCAGTTGATCGTGTCCAAAGGTATATTGTCCATGATTGTAGGTAAGAAATAAGACACCTTTCCCAGTCACGATGTCAACATCGTCTAGTGAATGATTGACCAGTGAGCTAACAATGAATGTTTGCAATCCGCATGTTGCTCTTTAGGATTTCGTACGCTCCGCAAGTATTGACAAGGTGATGTTTTACTGTTAATAGCAAACAATAATATGCTGTTCATCTAGTTTCAGTATCCACATCTCTCATTGACTGGGAAGAAGAAATAAAAACCTAAAGAAACTAAACTAATCAAATGAGAGCCATAGTTACCGGGTCATTATAATCGATAATAAAAATATGGGAAATATTATTAAACCAAAAGAATAAACTGCAACGAGTAAACGTGTTGTGTTGTTTTATTCTGATAGAGCGGATGTATAAAAGAGAATCGATCTTAGCTCGCAATGGATAGTGGGTAGAAGAAAAATATAGTCATTCTTTTTTAAAGAAAAAACAGAAATTTGACAATTGGGTCACATATTGTACCCGTCTACAACTTAAGGAAGTTTTTTTTCTTTAGAGGAACTTCTTTACATAATGGCCAGCGAAGAGTAGAATCCGCTGATGTACTTGACACCGTCCCCAATTTCGTAACCCCGGACAACCAGACGACGATATTAGTGTTACCATTTCTTTCTGAAAGGATACGCTTTCACAAAAAACGTCCCTAGAATTAGAGATTTAGGAAATTAGGAATAAATACACCTTATTCCAAAATGGCTGACTAGCCCTTGAGGTCTCGTTTTCATGAAATTGTTCTTTTCTTTTAAAGTCACTCAAGCTCAAAGACAAAAGAATAATTTTGAGAAAACAAGGGCTAATTGAACAAAGGGTGGCACTTTGGAATACGGTGTATTAAAAGACAAAATATGACCACTGAAGCTGAACACTTTCTTTTGTAATTTAATAAATTCCTAGATAGCAAAAGTTCTTTTTCTGGACAATGTTTCGTGTCGTTATAAATCAATTTATAAATCAGGCGAATTTATAGTKAACTTCTAACGGGTACAAATACCAAAGCGGAAACAGAAGCAATCAGTTTAGGGTTTTACGTGTAACCCAACCCATTCTCATCGGGAAGACCGAAAGCTTCATTGCATCTTTCAGTTTCCTCAGTTACCAGTCAAATGTCTAAAACTAAGTAGCCTTACTGATCGGGAGAGTTGAAGAGAAATTGTCACTGCTTGTATGTTAAAAAGGACTCCTCCCGTATTCAACTCACTCTTCAGTTGCCAATCAAATGGCTGAAAAATCGCTCACTATTCATTAGACTAAGTAACCAGTAAAACTGGTTTGACGAGAAATTCTACCAAAAGATATAAAATACCTAAATGTACAACCTAGATCTATAAGTTGAATCTACTTGTGGCCGAGACAGGAAGTCAAAAAGGTAAGTTCAGGCAATTAGTCTTCGGATCTCCCCCTTGTGCCACTTGTTCATGTCTCTTAGTGTAGACGTGGCTTTTCTCCGTCGTCCCATATCAAGACAAGAATCCATAATTTATTTTGATCGGTGAATTGAATACTCTTGATGAGATAAATAAGTTCATTTCGTTCTGATAGGATCAGAAATACTGTAATATCTACAACTAACACTGGAAAAAATCGCGCGTTTTAAAGGTTGTAAATTTGATGTAGATTTAACTGTCCAAAATTCTGTAAATTTAATGGAAATCATTTACATCAAATTTACAGAATTTTGGACACTTACATTATATTTACATCAAATTTGCAACAGTTTAAAGCGCGCGATTTTTTCCATTGTAATTTAGCCTCCTTCGCAGGCTACTCCATCGGAAACGGACATTTTTCTCTTCTTGGTCTTCCTGTGTTCAAAATCTTGGCCGAGCAGAACAGATGTCGAGAGATTAGCAACAATTGCCTTAACACAGGAATCCCACAGAGTAGAGTTGCCTGAGAAGGAGTCTACAACTAATTATTGTCACTAGAATCCAAAAGACCGCTCACATAGTCTTCTGACATTAATACTGTCACGAGAATTGCTATCGCAATAAGGTATTTTCATTTGTTTTTTTAGTGATATTCAACACAGCCATGAAGTTTCATCTGTGTTTCTTGGTTTTGATGGTGGTCTTGTACGTCGAGTGTAACGTGATCGACAAAAAAGTGCGGCATGAGAGTAAGACTTTTATTATCATCCATGTACTAACCTATAGTTTTGCATTCTCGTTACCCAGTCAACGAGACCACGATATTGGTGTTACCTTCGATCAAATTTGATCAATTTCTTTCTGAAGGGATATCTCCCGCGTCATTATTAATCAATTATTTTATTAAAAATCAAGTGTCTTAAAACTTTGTTGGGGAGCCTTACTTATAAATTGAAAAAACTTCCCTCTGTATTCAACTCACCTCGGTTACCACTAAGATACACTAACAAGTACCAAATAACAAGTAACTTTTGAGAGTGTGGTCAAATTGATATGATAAATTAATTCCATTGAATTTGAAATTGATCTACAGACAAATGTGTGGTACTGATACCGAGCAGTCTCTCTGGTAAATCGTTAAAAGCATATACGCGGTGTGATCCCTTCGGAAAATGTCCACGCAGTACAAAGGATTGCAGTAATTTATGCCAATCGTCGGATGAGAAGTGTTGCTGCTTGGTTACTTAGTGGTAGTCAGACTACAATCTTAGACATTTTACGCGGAACTTTGCAACATTTAACTGTTCTGTCAATTTGACAACATGACAACCACTCGCTACAATAACCTGCCC